CACATATGCTCGCAGTTGGTATGCATACGCCATCATTACATGTGAATTCATTGGATGAACAGCAGTTGCTCTCATCCTCTCCCTGGGCACAGTCTATAATATTATCACAAATGTACGATAGTGGAATGCACTTCTGTTCTGGGCAGGTATACTGTGTATCCAAGCAATTTGTTGGACATCCATTTTCATCTTCACCATTAGCACAATCGTCAATGCCATTACAAAACTGAAAACGACTTATACATTCCCCAGTTTCACACTCGTATCTTGTACATTGGGGAACACTACATCTTTCAAGAGTCTCGTCTTCTCCACCCCGACAATCAACGATCTGATCACACAAGTAAGACCTTGGAATGCAACTGCCATCTGGACAAGTAAATTCAGTTTCATCTAAGCAGCCACAATCAAGCTCATCTTCACCACTGGCACAGTCTGCAATACCATCACAGAATTGAAACTGGCTTATGCATTCACCTGTTCTGCATTCATGTTGACGACAAGGACGCTCACATCGTACAGGATCTTCATCAACACCATCACGACAATCTACTACATGATCACATAGGTATTTCAATGGGATACAGATACCATCTGGACAAGTGAATTCATCTGCTGTACAAATCACTGGGCATCCAATTTCATCTTCACCACTAGCACAATCCACTACCCCATCACATACATGGTGTTCATGAATACATTCACCCGAGATGCATTCATATTCATGACAAAGAACAATACATCTTGCAGGATCTTCATCTTCTCTACTTGGACAATCTACTATCTGATCACATAAGTTGGCTACGGGGATACAACTGCCATCAGGACAGGTGAATTCATCATTTGTGCAAACAACTGGGCAGTCAATCTCATCCTCACCAGTTGCGCAATCCTGGACCCCATCACAGAATTGTGATCCACTAATACATTCTTTAGAAACGCATTCATATTGGGAACATGGAGATATACCACACCTTTCGTAGTCTTCATCAGCACCTCTTGGACAGTCCACAATATTATCACAAACGTATGCCAT